TTTAAAAAAGGAAAATAATAGATTTAAATGGTTTTTTTTTGAAATTTTGACTTTTGATTTTATATATTGAAAAATTATGAAAATTAATTGGATATATATATATATATATATCAATAATATACAAACTAAATCAAATAAGTTTAAAATATTTCGTCCGAAAAGTAAAACAACTGTTTTCAGGAATCCATGAAAATGACCTTATGAAGATGAAAAAACACACATATGCTTACATCTCGTAGGTTCAAATAGAGGGGTAAAATTGACTTTTTGGTTATAATTATTAGAAAATATAAATGATTAATCCTCAAATTAAGCATCATGCCTAATCAAGCAAAGGTATTATTAGGAAATGCTTTAAATGCCTTTTCTTTTTAACCTCCAAATGGAAATTTAATATCATTAGCATTTTAAACTTAATGGAAATCATTACACCAAGATTCTGTCCCTCCACTTAAATTACAATATTACCCTCCAAGACTTTCATTATTTAAAAATAAAATCATTTCACCATAAAAAAAGGTCTTCTAAATAACATGTTTATTACTATTTGAGTTGCATATGATTAATTGAACAAGTGGGTCCAATCTATAAGTATGATCAAAGCATATGGACGGCTAGGATTGCTTAATGATTGGGTCGACTTTTAATCAAATACGCTCGTAACAATAATCTTAAACAAAATTCGAACATAAAACGTTACGTTTTTCCGTAGATTTTTCGGTCTTTTAGTAACTTGTAACCGTAGAGTTGATGGGGTTTTTTCATTGATTTTTGTTTTGCTACAAAATTATAAATACCCAAAAACTATAATTAAATTTCCATATATATATATATAATATATCTATATCCATGATGGGTAGTGAGAAAAGAAAGGGAGAAAAAGGTCAATTATTTCTCAAGGGAAACACAGATAGATAGAAATATACATATACAAAGTTGTATGTATACATTGATTACACCCCAAAAACATATTTTATTAAAAAGGGACTTTTTATTTCTGCAAAAAGGGGAAAAAAAAGCAAAGACAAAACCAGAGAGAGAGAGAGAGAGAGAGAGAGAGAGAGAGAGAGAGAGTTTGATTCTGTGTATTGTTGCGTTGAAAGCCATTCAATCTGTTCTGGCCAATTTTCCCCCATCATTGTCAAGATGTATTAAGCTCTAGTCCAAGTCACTATCTTGTTTTCTCTCTCTCCAAGATCCTGTTTCTCTCTCTAATATCTTTGAAATCATTCTTTTTTCTTTCTGGGTTGTTTTGTTCGTCAACAAGGTAGTCAAACAAATGCAAAAAATCCAAACCTTTTGAATCTTTTGTGTATGTTTCTTGAATCTTGTGTGATCTGTTTCATCATCTAATTTCGTGATTTCTTTAATAAAAGAAAGGAAAACAAGATGACCGTAGAGGAAATTCGAGGGTCTGTTGGGGTTAGTAACGAAATTGACAGATTTCCCATAGGGATGAGAGTTCTTGCTGTTGATGATGATCCAACTTGCTTGAAGTTATTAGATGGCCTTTTGAGGAAATGCCAATATCAAGGTTTGTTTTCTTTTATGTTTTTCTCAAATCAGTTTCAATTTTGGGTTTTTTTTCTTCAACCGGTTTTCATTTTCAAGATTTTCTGTAACAAGATTCTTTACAACTCTAGTTCTGTTCGATATGTGTTGACTCCCTCATTTCTAACAGTTTTCTTTTGGGGGTTTTCCACTCTTTTCATTACAAATTCGTTTATGTTTCAGTTTGATCTGTTCTAGGGATTGATCTCGGATTATCTTAGGTTTCAGTGCTCACAATCCTTGGCTTCTTTTTGCAGTTACAACCACAAATCAAGCAATAACAGCCTTGAAGATGTTAAGGGAAAACCGAAACCGGTTTGATCTTGTGATCAGTGATGTTCATATGCCAGATATGGATGGTTTCAAGCTTCTTGAACTCGTTGGTCTTGAAATGGACTTGCCTGTTATCAGTGAGTCCCAATACACTTTCTTTAATCACATAATTGATACTTGTATGTGTCCGGCATCCTTTGTTCAGTTCCCAAATCCCAAATCAATAACCTAATGATAAATGTTCAAATTAGATGTGGGTGTTATTAGTTTTCTGTAAAACAAGTTTTAGAATTTCAGTTGGTTTGACGTAAAGAAGTCATATCTAATCACAAAGATGGTATGTGTGCTTGTTTACCATCTGTTATCGAGTTTTGAAGTCTATAAACTAACATTGAAGCTCCAAACTGATATGGGTTCTTTATGTTTTTTGGGAAAATAAGTGTTGATGTTAGACTTATCGTTGGTTTGACCTAAAGAAGCCATATCCGATCACGATGGTTGTATGTGTTCATGCTTGACATCTATTATCGAGTTTTGCAGTCGATAAACTAATATCCAAGCTCTAAACTGACAGGTGTTTCTCTACGTATTCTGGAAAATAAGTCTTGAATCTTGAAGTTGTTTTGGAAAACCAAGTGTTGGTATTGTCGTTTTAATTCGTTTGGCCTAGAAATGTCGTATCTGTAGTCTTGGGACAAGGGTTCTACAATTTAGAAAGATTGTAATTTGTATGCATGCATGCATGTTTCGGTATCTTGAGTTTTGAAGTTGTTAAACTAATCTAATATCTGTAAATCTTGGAACAGAGATGGTATGCCCTGCATGTTTTGGCATCCATTATTGAGATTTGAAGCCGTTAAATTAATTTTCAAGTTTATAACTGATGGGGATTCCATATGTTTTGGGAAAATTGCATTTGGTGTTACCATTTTAATCGGTTTTGATATGGAAATCATATTTTGGAACGTAGGGTTCTTTAATCACAAAGATGATATGCATGTATGCTTGCCATCCGTCGTTGAGTTTTGAAGTCGTTAACCTAATATTTAAGTTCAAGATTTCATTCATTTGACCCAAAACGATTCGTATCTTTAGGGCCATGTTTGGCAACCATAAGCTAACTTATATGTTGCGCTTATTAAATAAGTCTTTTCTGAAAAGCTACTTAAGGTAGCGTTTCAATATGCTCCAGGGTTTCTTTATGCCCCTTCTTATTTTTCTAAATAATTTTTCAGCATGTCCTTTTAGGTTATTTTACATTGTCATCTAGCTTATCAACTAGCATCTAATGTTTCTTGAAATGGTATCTGATGTTTCTTGAAATCATATCTAATGTTTCTTGAAATGGTTACAGTGTTATCAGGAAATAGCGATCCAAAGCTAGTGATGAAGGGGATCACTCATGGTGCTTGTGATTATCTTGTGAAACCGGTTCGGCTTGAGGAATTACGCAACATTTGGCAACATGTGATCAGGAGAAAAGTGGAGTCGAAATCTCAATCGAAATCAAACAACCAAGAAAAGCCGAACCAAGGGGGTGAAGGTGGACAGGAAGCCGGTAGCGGAGATCCAAATGGGAAACTGAACAGGAAAAGAAAAGACGAAGATGAAGATGTTGAAGACAACGGGAATGAAGATGATGATCCCTCGTCACAGAAGAAGCCACGAGTTGTTTGGTCCATTGATCTTCATAGAAAATTCGTTGCTGCTGTTAATCAACTTGGGATCGAGAGTGAGTCCTTCATTCCTCACTTTCACGTAAAACAAATGCTAGTCATGTTTGGTAAAAACTAGTTGACAATAGAAATGACGTGCTAAAAAATTAATTAGAAAATATCAAGGGGCATTATTGGGCAAAATAATAGAGACGGCGTAAAAACGCTACTTAAAGTAGCTTTTAAAAAAAAATGAGGCTTTTTAAGGAAACACACGCTACTTGATGATTTGCTTTTTTATATAACGCAGAAGCCGTTCCCAAAAGGATTCTTGATTTGATGAACGTCGAAGGTCTTACTAGGGAGAATGTGGCAAGCCATCTCCAGGTTCACTTTTTTCCTTATAATCTTGATGCATCTAATAATCTTTTAGAAAGCATTCATCTTTACGTGATCCAAATTTGGGCGATTGACGGAATGAAAAATCTATACTTAGCTTATACACGTGCTTGTTTTACAGAAATATCGGCTTTACTTGAAAAGAATCAGTCAGCAAGCGAACATGGTGGTTGCATTTGGTGGCAGCAAAGATGCTTCTTCTTATATGCGAATGAGTTCTCTTGATGGACTCGGAGATTTCCGAACGTTATCGGGTTCCGGAAGACTGCCGAACGCAGCATTATCGTCTTATTCACCTTCCGGTATGCTAGGTAGGCTCAACAGTGCAACCGGGGTGACCCTCCATAGCCTCACTTCCCCTTCAATGATCCAACCGACCCACCCTCAAAACTTGACCAATTCGATTGGTTCGCTCACCAAGTTCCAGCCGGTTGTGTTACCAACACCACCAAATCACCAAAACACGAATCTTTTTCAGGGGATTCCGTCGTCGTTTGATCTTGGTCATCTTCACCAGAATGGTAATAAACCGAACACCACCCAGATCCCGGATTTCAATCCCATTGATGAATCACGAATCTTTACGGGTCCTAGTAGCTTTGCGACTTTGGGGAGCCAATCTTCTCTAAAGATGGCTTCTATGAGCTCAGAATCTTTTAATCTTGTTTCTAGCAGTTCTAGTTATCTTGATGTCCCACCGCCAATGGGCGAGAATTTTCACGACCAATTGCCGCCGAATAGCAGCCTGAAATATGGTTACTCTGCCTCTAGTAACACAATTCCCAGCTTTGGTTCTAATATCACTAGCACCGCCTCGGTTCCTCTTGAAGCTCAAGGCCAAAGGCATGGACAGTATGGTAAACCAAGTTATAGCCCCTACTCAAATAACGCTTTTAGCACGTTAGCGGCTGCAGCAGCGGCACCACCACCAAATGGTGGTGGTTTGGGTGGACCAGTGAGTCAAGCAAATGACCAGATTTGTGGGGTCTACAATAGGTCGAATGGCAATGGTGCAACGGCTATGCAGCGTAGCAGCAGAGAGACTGAGAGGTCGAGTACAGAACTGAAAATGGGATCTGGTGAAGAGTATCTACTGGAGCAGACGAAGTTACCAAGCGGTTTTGTGGCAAACAACGGTTATGACTCGTTGGATGATCTTATGAATGGAATGATGAAACGGGTATGACCTTTTTTGATCTTATTGTATGTTAGAATCTTTTAATTGATAGTAGTTAATCATCATCTTAACGGAAAATCTAGTTAGAGCATAAACGTAAAATCTATACTAGGTGAAAAATGTATCGACAATAATTTCTGAATCTTTTAAGGGCCAATGATAAGACTGTTCAGCAAACTAGCCGGTAAGATGGTGGTTGGCTGGAACACTAGCTGATAAGCTAGACGTTGGTTGATTGTTGGCTAAGCTAGGTCTGACTAATAAGCTAGTTGTAAACTCGTAAAGCCACACTTTGGTTGAAAAGCTAGTTGTTAGCTGAAAAGTGATGTTAAACTGATGTTCCATTGCTGTTTGGGGAACTTTTCTGCATTTTATAAAGTGATTCCTCCATTTTTGGAAGCAGGAGCAGGACCCGACAATCATGATGGATGGAGAATTCGGATTCGATCCTTATTCCTTCGGGTCGTGTATACAGTAATTAGCTGTTGACTCCTAGAGAACGATGATAAAACGAGAGGCTGCAACGACAAATTAGGTTTATGAAATGAGAAGTTTGTATCAATATGTAATTTATTTGGCAGGATATTTATGTCTCTAGCTTCTTCAATGTCATCCTTTTATCAACTTGTAGCCAGGTTTTCGTATCGTGGGTATGACTGCAAACGTGATTTTTAGATCTTCTTGAATCTGTTTTCGTGGTACCTGTTTTTCGATGGTTTATGGTTGTTATGCAAACAGGAACTGGTGTTCATGTTTTTTTTCTTCTTTCTGAAGCTGAAGTAGTTGAAAGTTGAGGTGATCTACAAGTTATTATCGCATTAGAATTGTTGATATGGTCTAGGAAGGCTTAAAATGGCTCTTTCAAAGGTTATAATCGGTTAAGACCGCAACCAGTAGCCACAGGACGAGTAGGACCAAGGACCCGTTGCAGCAACGGGTCTTTTGGTTAAATGACTTCCTAACAGTTTCTTTTAAATCTTTGATTTTTCTAATAGGTTTTTAGTACGTTTGAGAATACCATTTTTATGATCACCTGTCACGAGATTGTTTAGCTAAATAATCCTACCGGAACTAGCCTGGTCCCTTTGAAACTGCATTAACTTTTTGACGAATTTCTTTTAAATCTATGATTTTCTTACAGATTTTTAGGTACTCTTTGTGTTAAAGTAGAAGACATCCTTTTGGGTATATTACTTTAAATGAGATTTTAATTAAATCTATGACCTTATGACGAGTAAAAAAGCCATTTTTTAATCATGAATTTAATTAGAATCTCATTTAAGATTATATACCTAAATGACCCCTTCATTCTTAAGGCTTGGTCACATAAACTAAGAAATTCATTTCATTATGATGAACAAAAAGCTCTATAAATCAACATTTTGGTGTACAGAAGTACTACACTTAAGTCCACAACATTTTCCCCAACCCTATTTGAAGTTAATCAAGCTCAATCAACTGGGCTCTTCTTTCTGCAGCTTTCTTTCTTATGAATATCCCCCATCTTAGTGCAGCCTTAAGCTTGAGCCAACCGACGACTGCCTTCCCTGAACCACGTCTGTGTCCATGTGCATACACCGGACTAATATGTGGTTCATGAGGGATGTTATAACCATATGAACCATTCTCATAAAGACCAAAAGTAGGCCCTGTCTCTCCGACGCCAAAGCTCCTCAGTAGCTTCTGCATATCATCAGTTTCCAACATTTCAGAGCTCCTCAAACGGACTTCCTCAGAAAAAGAGTCTCCATATCCATGTGGGCTCGGGCTCGACCAATCTCCTGAAACATCAAAGGTAGATGGTCCAGCGGGCCGATAATCAGAGGGTACTGATTGGTGGTGGGTGTGTGATGAAACACCCACCATTGGATCAGAACTTATAAATGGATATTCAATCAAGTTTTGAGCCGGTGGTGCAGGAACTGTTAGTGCAGTCAGGACTTTGCCGTCGTATTCTACGACTCTATTCCAGTTCTCATATGCTCTCTTCACAAGTGAATCTACTGAAATCTGTTCAAGAAACAAGGCCAAAAGTCTCAAGAAACAGATGAATCAAAAGTTTGAAGCAAAGAGGGTTGTGCAGACCTTCTGATCGTGGTTAAGTGATTCCAATGGAACAAATTGACCATCGGCAATAAGACCTCTTAGCTCGTAAATGTGGTTAAAGATAGCACCGGTGGTGTGAGCTAAATCGGCATAGTATACATACAGCTTCCCTCCTAAAACGCAAGTCTTGGCATGCTCCACTGTGTTTTCCCACATCCTATTTGACATCCCACTCCCTAGAATCTGTATTCATTAATGAATTAGAAAAATAAGCAAAGGGTATGTGCTTCATATGTAACAAGAACACGAAGAAACTTACGTTTCTGAGTTTTTGTGGATCTTTAACAAGAACACGAAGGAAATCCTCCACAGTTATGACTTCAGATTTCATCAATTTCTTATGCAATGCTCCATCCTTTGCTATTCTATCCAACCTCCAAACTTCATCGTGTAAAGCAGGCGGGTAATGTTTCTTGTACACTGCATTAAGTAACAGATATAGTTGTCAGACCGGTATATCCCACTCAGAAGTCGGGTCAGGGGTAGGATGTATGCAAACTTTACTTCTTCCCCAGAGGGTAGACAGGTTGTACAAAGATGTTATGAAAAAACGTAAGATCTGTGCTTCGTACATTCTCCTCTATGATCTTTAACCGCAAATGCCTCAGTTTTAGCTTCACGAATTCTGATCCCCACACAAAATCCTGAAGCTACCTTCAGACCGAGCCTAAACTTTCTGCTTCGAATCCAGCTTGAATTATCTGTAAAACTAAGATCACCCAGAGTCCCAACTCCTTCATTCAAGGTTACTTGTAGCTCCCCTGTTAAAAGTGGCCTTTTTCCTTCGCGGGCTTTGACTTCATGGCTTTCAAAATGGTCAGCGCTCCAGTTTTCATCGAGTTCTTCATTAAAGTCACCTTCCAGAACCACTACGTTCAGTTTTGATGATGACTCTGGTCCAGTTTGCACAACGTTGCCTGTGGTTGCATCTAACAAGACAACATGAATTGCAGCTCCTTGCTCTCCCTCCACCTTCCCACCTGTGAAGAGATGAGGCGGCATCCTCATTCTGAATTGAAGTTGCAAAACTTTTCCTTCGGAACCTTGTATTCTTGGTGGTGAAGATCTGGTGCATCATAAACACGGAAAGCTAAAACCAAACCAAACCATACCAAACTGAATGAAACAGACCCGGTATATCCCATCTGAAGGTATGGTCCCCCTGAGAGGGGGAGGGGGAGGGGGATATGCGTGCAGACCTTACCTTTGTCCCACGAGACTATTCCTAGAAGACCCTTTTTCTCCCTTTAGCCAACCCCTTCAACGACCTTTAGGCCAACCAAGAGGTTGAGGAATTAAGCCTCACAGGGGGAAGTTTTTTTAAAAGTATATAATATTTACATACGGCAAAACTCACACACACTCTCACTTCTGGTGAGGCTTGAGCCTTGACCTCCAGGGAGGTTGAGATCTACTAGTGTCCCAGATACCTTTTGTGGCTCTGCCTATGGTATAAGATGTAGGACATATGTTCACATCATCAGAAAGATCATAAATCGGTTCAAAGTTTTTTTTGGTAAGTAGTTGTATGTCAACATAAAAGACATAGCATCTTACCTTCCAGCAATTTGACCATGCCCGAATCTAGTCAAAGCACGCTCCACTTCTTCGCTCACCTGTTTTTCCAAAATACATATGACATCAACAGCTGACCTAATTGTAAGCGCTTAATTTCTCGTTGAAATTTCAAATGTGGAAAATACATTAACCATGAATAAGATACAGGAGTAGTTCCTCTAACATGTTTGAGTATAATAACTTGGGCATAAAAAATATACCAAAGTTATGAACCAATGACTACTTTTTAGACTATATCAATGTTCACACACATACACACACCCCATATATATATGTATGTATATATATATATATATATGCATGCATGTATGTATGTGTGTATATATATGCATGTATGTATATAGTGAGGTTCAGGGGAAAACCCCCAAACAATTAAAAACTGAGGAACACCCTAATAATTGTTCATCTGTATGGTACGCACATGTGCATACAAATAATTGAAGATGTTTCCTGGTTTCTACGCATGTGTGCATGTTATGCACATGTGCTTACCGGTACAAATGAATGGTTATTAAGGTGTTCCTCGGTTTTTCACTTTTTTGCGTTTTCCCCTAAACCTCACCCTATATATATTGATTTTTGGTTTATTTTTGTTATGACAAGTGATGGCACAAAGCATAGTAGTCTGCCTGCCTAACTTAGTCATGAAGCAGGGAAAATATTTACAGTCTTTTAATTAAAGAATGCAACCTTTATGAGCAAAATTAGAGTCTGCTTTTGACTTTTAAAGAGAGAAATAAATTTAGTTTTAACTACAGAATCACAAGTGACATTTTTGTCGTATGCAATAATAGATAACTACATTAAGCTATTACAAGACTTATGCAACAGAAAATAGATTTAGGTAAAAAAAGGTTGGTTGTAAATTCTGAATCTGTTGGAGGTTTTCGCGCAAACAGCTGCTCTATTCGGTAGAGAACATGTATGCATACATCCCACCCAGACATGGGTGGACCTAGTCGTTGTAGCAGTTGCCTGGGAAACCACGAACTTGTTGCATGTAGTGTAAATCTTTTAGCCGTTTGAAGGTGCAACCATATTTTTTTTTGGGTGAAACCGTGAAAGTATAGAAATTTTTCATTACGTGAAACCATAAACCTAAGCGATAAACTCTTCAAGTAGATGAATTTCAACTGATATTAATTTTTGTTAATAGCTTAATATTTAGGGTAAAGTTGTTTTTGTTTTATGTTAATATTTGAATTTCAAGGTAAATTGATAATTATTTGTGTTTAGGGTTTATTTAATTATAGTTAGGGCCGAAACTTAGGGTTAATTTCTTTAGTGTGAATTTGCTTATAATGACGTTAACATAATAAAATGTTAATTTGAGGCAACTCTTTAGGTTAAATTTGTGTATATTTGGCCCCAACTCTATAGATTTTAGAGTTAAATTTGAAGCCAACTCTTTAGTGTTACTTTGTTTATTTTTGGAGTAACTCTTTAGACTTTAAGATCATCATGTTTATATTTGGGGTTAATCTGTTGCATCTGAATCCGATCGTGTAGAATTATTAAGTAGAAGTATAACAACCATCGATTAGCTTTAATAGATAAACTTTTCAAAAAAGCTTAGTGTATCAGTTTTTCAATAGCTTAAAATATTTGATATATATATATATATATATATATTATATACATATATAATCTAATTGACCCAAATCGCTGAAAACTGGTTCCAACAAGTATTTAATAATTAATTTTTTATTTTATTTTATCCTACTATAATTATTTTGTGAAGACCCCGCTAACAAAAAATCTTGGATCCGCCTCTGCCCCTAAACCCCACCTCTAGGCTTGTTAGCCTTGTTTGGTTTGGTTTAGTTTGTAAAATCTAAATCTTTAAATTACTAGGCTTAATCTTTAAAAATGGACTCTAATTTTGGATGGAGGGTAACATAGCTATATCCATGAGATCCATCATTCAAGTTATCTTTATTGATTCTTGAAATAGTTATCACTTTGTTCATGCATTCGTTGATCAACACATCTTATATTCTATAGTATGTCTATGAATATGCAGTTCAGTTACAAATGTAGAACGAAGAATGTTGGATGCAGCATATGAAGATTTAGTACTAGTTATATTCATAATAAGCAAATTTGCACACAAATGATTATGACTCTTTAGATCTTCCACAATTGTTTTATTATGATTATAGGAAGCAGCAGCTTTCTTCGATCTTCCTTATAAACATGCAGAAACATAGGTGATGAAGGTAAGATAGATTCTACACGTAACACCTCAATATGTAATAATACTTTGAAATAAAACTTACAATTCTGCGGAAAAGAGGTTCTAAAGATGAGCAAAGTCTTTGCAAACTATCAACTTTGAGAGCTTCCACAATTACACTGTGTGATAAAAAGAAAAATGAATAGTATGTTAGAGTGGATAAACAAGAACAACCCCTTTGAAATTGCAAAAGACACAAGATGCTTAAAAACAATGATAGAACGAACAAAGGCATGTCTGCAATTTGGACTGAAATGCTCAAAGTATGGTACTGGTTATAGAGAAGACTGAACATGAACTCAATGTCTAATAATCCAATGATGAACCTATTGTGGGTCAATACAGTCATAAGATGTATGATGTTTAGCAATATATACTCTAGTTTGATAATAAACCAAACCAAATGATCGCGGTATATCCCATCTGGAGGTGGAGTTCTATAGGAGTGGGATGTAAGAAGACTGGACCTCTACCCAAAAGAAAAAAAACGCTGTCAATATTTGTAATAATAGCAAGAAATTGATGCTATTGCATTATTAGGAAATGAAACTAGGATCGGCCATGGATGATGGCCATTGGGGGCATTTAACTCTCTATCCTACAGCACGATCAACACTTTTTCTTGAATCGGCAAAGAGGACGGGATTCAAATCTGCAGCCTCAAGGTATTACCACTTAGAGGCAGGATGGATACCATTCAAACTAATCACTTGATGCTAACCAGTAGAAACTTAGGTATTTTTCAAGGGTAAATCCCAACTTACACCAGGCAAAAAGGCAATAACCAGAGCTTGTAGCTCAAAAAGTTTAGCACCAATAGTGTTTAAACAAAAACAAGATGATTAAATAAATCGTTGCATATGAATTAGTTCATTGTATTAGCAAATGATGCATTCTGGCAATCACCTGGTTCTAAGATTCTTTATTTTATCAGGATAGGTTCTCACAGACATTTACACAAACAGATGGAGATGATTATACCAAAACAAGCAACAATCGCTTACAAAAATTATCCTTATAACAAAATAGTTAACAGAATCAAACCTTGCTAATCCCGGTATTTTGGGTTTCTTGGATTGAGGCATACCATCATTATCTTCTTCATCCTCCACTCTTCCTTCATACCCTCTCTTCTCCACTCTCCTACCTCCTCCTCTTGATCCATCCATATTTCTAAAACAACACCAACTTCCTAAATCTTAACAAACTTATGGAAAGCACCAACGAAACAAAGACTTGCAAAAATCTTGAACACCCAAATGGAATCAATTCAACTCTGAAGCAGAAAGCAATATGATCTGAAAGTTTCGATAAAAACGAAAAAAACACCTAAGAATCTTTTGGGCGAGTGTGTTCATAGATCTATAGAAGATTATTGTAATTATTATACGTGTGTAAGAGAGAGAAGACAGGTGGGTTTTAGTCGGTGGATTACATGAATATTGAATTCATGAAACTTGAAACCGCGCTTGTTGCCTCCTCCAGTTTGCAACTGGTATATTGGAAGTCAACTTCACGTTGGCAGTTGACATAATTACCCCCTGTGTTCTACCGTGATTTTACATATTTACCCTTGCTAGTTTTCGCATGCATGTTACATTACACACAATGGCTTCGAATCACTGATACAAACAAAATTTCAAAATTATATGAAAAAATAAAATATATTTTTATGTAAATCTTATCTATATTATATTATAAAGTATTTGACAAAAACTTTTAAAAATTATTTTTTATACATAAAATACTGTGTATTAATGCATATTACTTAAATTTTAAACCTATGAGTAGATTGTGCGTAAGTACAACTTATTAAAACTTCATCTTTGAATTCATATAACTAACTGCAGATAAACATAATCAAATACAGGATAAAACATCTCATTTTAAATATAAAAAATCTAAAATATAATTTTGAGTTCTAACATAATCATTATCTTTATAAAAATTACATTGTTAAGCCAAAAATAAATTACTTTGCTATTAGACCTAAATTAAATTATAATAAAAAATAAATTAAAGAAATTGTAAAAAAAATCGAGAACTTTTAAATAGTTAATTTAATATTAATATCGATATATTTTTTCAAAATTTTATGATATCTTTTCAAAATTATATTTATTTAAAAATAAAACATTATCTTTATCGAAACCACATAAACTGTATTATATGAATATAGACAAAAAAATAAAACAAAATATTAAAATGAAGATGTATCTCGTTGCATTGTACAAGTACACTCCTAGTTAATTTTTATATGTATTTAAAAGTCTATAATTTTTAAATTTTGATCCGGTCGAGTCAACACCCTTATGCAAGAGGTGTTCACTTACCCAAGAGCAATGTGTTAGTAAACAACCTTTTAACCCTTGTTTTCTTTACTTGTATTAAGAGGTAATGTCTAAATCGCTAAGAGGTAAATCTTATTCGGCAAAACCCTTTGAATCATTTTGTATCGTGGACCTCCCTGAACCATTCAACGCCCTAATTTCATTCTGAACAATTACCAAACAACCATATTTCATTATGCTCTATATCTCATTCTAACCACTTAATCATCTTGTACCGAATCATTCACATACACCCTTTTAGAAAAGTTCAAATATTTCATACAACCCAAAAAGGAAATGACCAATGAAGACATGCTTCACCCAATTTCTTTCTTTCTTCAGTGAAATTGGTAACAACAAACAAGCAAGAAGAACCAAAAAAGAGAAAGAACAAGAAGGGATAATCAACTTGTGAATGGTAGGGTTGAAAATATTTCAACAAAATTACCGTAAGTGGCGATATCGATTCACGACGTACAACTTCAATAAAGATCGAAATCCCGGATTAAAGAAACAAATAATTCATAGTTATTATCCTTCCCAACCGAGTTGTCTAGCTCTTCGTTCCCATAACGAAGTTATCTTTCTTTCTTGCCTCATTAACGCCTCGGCTTGCTCTCTCGCTTGTTCGCATGTTTCCGTAGCGGTGTTGCATTTTTCGGCCTCCTTTTGATACTGAGCGGCCACCCTTCTCGCTTCGCCAAACGTGATGTTCATATGGCGTATGTGTTCTTCCCCAACCGTTTCTTGCAGTTTCAACTCTTCTGATAGTAAATCCACAAATTGCTTCTCCATTTCTTCCTTCAAATCCGGATCATCCTTCCCACAATCTGGATATTGGGTACAAAAAATCATCATTTAGTTAAATGATCTTAAACGAGCCTTCAATTAGGAGCACGACCCTTTTAAATTCAGTTTAACTCGATAACATGTGTCTTAACAACTAAATTCCTAAATTCAGGTGAGGGTGAAAGGATGGAATGTAAGCATTATACCAAATGGTCCTTGCCTCCCAAAGTTCAATTTTGACTTTTGAGGTCAAAAAGGTTGAAATATAAACTTCAAAATTGGCATGATTTATTTATGATCGACAAATACAAAATTGATAACATCTATATAACTTGGTACAAATATACAAAGATTAGTGTTTATATTTGTATAAACCCTATGTGAATTTGAATAATTGGAGTCATAAGTTTGACCTTGAAAGTCAAAACTACCTAATGGTTCTTTCAACACCTAATTTTGACTTTGTTTTCAAGAATTACTTCAGTAATCAAGACAGGCTTTTTATTAATGTAGAACCCGAAAACCAACTAAACTCCATTTATATTTGCATAAACCCTACGTGATTTTGAATCATTGTAGTAGTGTTCTTTAAGAATTTCTTGTAGAAAAGATTGACATCTACATTAACTTTGTAACAACTTCATAAAAAAGGATCACATTCTCTTGTTTTGGAACGAATAGTGTCACATCTAACCATGACTCAAACTAACCATATGGAATAGGAAAGATGACCACATACCTGTAATCGAAAGATTGGCCAATCCTGCGATAAATGAAAAGAAACAAGAATTAATAGTCGAACTCGAGTTTACAGATTTTTTCAGTAAGGTACGATAAGGATGAATGGAGGACGAGCATGGTGCACCATGGCTTGGATCATTTACGTATATAACCTTAAATGAGATTTTGATTTAATTCATGACGTCAGGACTTATTAAAGAAACAATGGCTTCATACTCATCAGAAGGTCATGGGTTCGATTAAAATCACTTACCAACAAAAGGGGGACTTCTATGCTTCTTTGAATTTAAAAGGATGCAAGAGTACAAGTAATCCCACATGGAGTAGGGTCTCGGGAGGGTAAAAATGTACGTAGACCTTTCATCTACCCCAACTAGTAGAGAGACTGTATTATAAAACGGAAAACAACCTCGTTTATAGGGTCCTTCGGATAAATGACCTTAAGTGAGTTTTCAGTTAGGATCATCATGACCTTCTAAAATATTCTTCATGTTAGCTTCTCAAATTCAGTTTTTGAGAAGGTCATTCAGCTAAGCAGCCCCTTGTATCAAACACCCCAACCCCATCAAAATGAGACACAAACAAGTAAATGGGAAGGATCGCAATTTCGGTTCATACACCATGTAGATTATGTGATCTAACAAGAAATGGTAAAGACCACTGTTTCTTGAGGGCTGTAAGGCACAAGCACCTTAATCAATTTTCAAACTGTGAGCTACCAAAGTTCAGTGGATGCTTGGCATTTATACAAATTCTAGCTTTCTAACATGGCAGCAAGAGATCAACCATAGTAGTTGCAAACTAATCAACTCCCTATCAACAAGAAACAAAAGAAATCACCCCACAAAAAACAGGGATCTTCCTCTAGATATGAATGTTGCGTATTCCACTACAACTCAAACAGGAAGATGATGATCATCATCAAAAGTGGGAGATTTTGAATTAAATAGTAGAAAAAGGAAAAGGGGGTTCCTCCTAATTATCAAATAACATGAACAAATGAAGAATTGGGTATGCAGTAATTCCTGTGAAAATCAAAAACCCAAATCAAATATGATCTAATCAATGACGAAATCAGATCAAAAATAAAAGAAAAATGTTTGATTACCAGGAGCAAGCTTGAGAAGGGAGAGAGGAGGAGGGCAATCACAGATGCATGGAGTACAAGAGATCGAAGAACCTCCTTTCAAATTAAAACCCTTTTTGAGCCTCCAATAAAGAGCTGGCCCAGATACACAGAGTGCTGAAATCACTGCGAAAATCACCAAACAACACCTTAAACACGATCCAGATCTCCTGCTCATCTCTCTCTCTCTCTCTAGATCTATTCGTGTATCTGTGTGAGTAGTCTATGTGAGCTCTAATGGAGTAGCATGGTTTTAACTTTTAACAGCTTGATGAGAATCTATCGGTGTCTTGGTTGAAGATTTGGGAGGTCGCATTCAGGAGTCTGTCTAAAACTCAAAAATCTGGTTATCGATATCTATTTTCTTTTAGAAGTTGCGGGTTAGCACCGACAAAGGGATCCGACCCGATCCCTGACCCGCATGATATATGTAAACCATTTGTTTGATCCATTTATTTTCTTTATCTCAAGATTTTTGAGATTGTTTATAAAAATAATTTATTAACTTATTTTGTTGTGATATCGGTAATAAATATTTTTAAGTGTTTGGATAAACAACTTATACCGGTATCAAACTGGTAATAAGGAGTTTTTAAAAAAGTTAAATTCTTTTGACTTATAATAAATTGATAAATGATTTTATAGAAAAACATAAGTCGTTTCAAATAAGCAATCCCAAACATAACATATGCAATGTAGGAGATATAAATTTCTTGTAAATCAGAAACAAAAAATTTATATAAATTTTTATTTAAAAATAAAAATAAAAGAAGTCACATTTGAGCAAATAAAAAATATTATAATTTGTTATGGTACATTTTTGTAGAAAACATAGAGATATGGTAGATAAAGGAGTCGGTTCTGACATTTCAGAGGCTCTGTGTGATAAAAGAAACGTAATCTTTAATTGTTTTAATTGTACTATTTTTTTATTATATTCAGACGTATGTTTGTTAATAAATCGATTATGCTTCTTCGTTAACCTTGAACAAATTGTTCATCTTTTCTTTACACTTAAAATAACTCGATTCAAATTTCTTAGTTTCAAAAACAACACATTTATCATAGAATCAATTAATCATTATGAGTAACTACGCTTTGCGCAGTCGTTGTTTATTGACGAAAAAAAGCATCAATAAGTTTGAATTCGATATAAAGTGTTAAAAGATATCACAATAATTATGGTACAATTTTATTTATAAATGTTTTATTTTGTTAGAATAAAGAGAGTTAAAATACATTGGTTGTAGAAAAATGAATATGTAAGTTTGAATTCGATATAAAGTGTTAAAAGGTATCACAATAATCATGGTACAACTTTATTTTTTAATGCTTTAATTTGTTAGAATAAAGAGAGTTAAAATACATTGGTTGCAGAAAAATGAATATATAGCGTAAAAGAAGTTAAATTATGAAATGATAGAAAATACATTTTATAGATATAGAACTAATTTCTTGCTTTTGGTTGTCTTATTATAAGAATAAAGAGATGTGTAATATATTGTTTGTGAAAAATAAAGATATAATATATAAATAATATATGTCAATTCGGTATATTATTAGGTGTATAGCCGAATATTACATTCTATAATGAAAAATCCAATAAAATTGTGATATGAAACGTGGTTATAGTAAGAAATTATCAAGTTATGCTTTAGTTTAAAAAGATCGGAAATTATCATTTTTTTTCTTCTATGAATATCCCGAGTCCTAAAAAATGTAATAGAAAATATATAATTAACTGTTTACAAAAACAATCTGCAAGTTTCAAAATGAAAATAACAAATTTGTCAATCTGAGATGTCTAAATCGATTTCAAAATCCATATTTTATGGAAAATTGAGATAGTTATTTAAAATGAAAACATACCATTCCACGTTTTGTGTATCTAGTTTCATGGATATATTGGGGCATCTAATTGGTTTTCTTGGAACTTCAGAGATAAAGGAAACACATTGGCAACTGATTTTGCCATAGACTTTTCTTGTTCCTCCTTATATGATTTCTCTAATCTCCTTCAGTTTGCTTCGAATCGCAGACAACATAGTAGATAGAGAGATCAAAAAGATAGAAGTAAAAAAAACTCATAATTATTGCTTCATGTCTTTCTATAGATGCATAGAAAGATAGAGAGATGCGTACTGCCAGCTATACTGTCTATACAAATCAATAATCGATGCATTCATTTCTTATTAATAAAAGATTACAAGTACAAACATATAAACTCTAGAACTTATTCAAAGAATTAAAGTTAAAGTAGCTTAAAAGGAAGAACAATCTAGAGAGAAAAGAAATGTTTGAAAATGAAGAAAATGTGAATCGTTAACCAAATGACCGGTTAACAAGCCTTTAAATAAGAATGGAGAATTGACAGAATTAGTCCTTGAATATTGCTAGAACTTGCTCTGCTACCCTTCATCATTTCCAATAAGTGAGGCGCGTTCCTCGTACTTGATAATTCCATATTTTCACTTTTGACAGATCTAGTCCCTTAACATAGAAAAAAATTAATCAAAAGTTAAGATTGCAAATATAACATATTTTAACACCCTCCTTCCATCTTTACTTTTGAATAAATCAATCATTTTTAACTTGAAACATAAGTAATTATGATGATTTATACCAAGAGCTTTTGTAAAAATATCGGCAGGTTGTTCAGAAGACAAGATTTTTATAACCTTTAACAATCCTTTATTGATGTTTTCTCTAATTTGATGCACATCTATTTCAATGTGTTTAGTACGTTCATGAAAAACTGGGTTATTTGCAATATGAATGGCAGATTTATTATCACAAAATACAGGAACATGTAACAATTCTGAAATGTTTAAATCCTTAAGAATTTTTAGAACCCATAGAACCTCACAAGCAGCAGAGGCCATAATTCCGGAAAAGAACGAGAAACGATACTTTGTTTCTTACTCTTCCAAGAAATCATAGAATTTCCCAAAAAAAAAAAAAGACAAAACCCAGTTACATAACGTCTAGAGGAGAGGCACTTACCCTAGTCAGCATCGACAAAAGCAGTTAAAGAAAACCTTTCAGTTCTAGTAAAATTAACACCTTTACCTGGACTAAATTTCAAGTACCTGAGAACCCTAAAAGCAAGACTTAAATGAGATTGTTTAGGTAAATGCATAAATTGACTTAAACAATGAACAGCGAAAGCAATATCTGGTCTAGTGGCAAGAAGAAGATCAACTTACCAATTAGTTTTTGATAACCAGTGTAATCATATAAAGGAGAATCTTTGTTATTATTAGAATAAAATATAACTAAATTCCTATCCATTAGAGTATTACATGGTTTGCATCCCAAATATCCAAACTCATTTAATAATTCTAAACAATACTTTCTTTGAGTCATACAGATTCCATCAAACAGTCTAGAATTTCATTGCCAAGAAAAAAGTTCAACTTTCCCAAATCTTTTATAAGAAATTTGCTTTTTAAGAAAATTCTAACCATATCAACTTCAGATGAATCATTTCCAGTAATGACAATGTCATCAACATAAACTAACAAGACAAGGAAAGTCAACTCAGATTTCTTTGTAAATAGAGAATAGTCACTAATACTTTGGACAAAGCCATGTTCAATTAAACAAGATGAAAGTTTAGCATACCACTGACGTGAAGTTTGCTTTAACCCATATAGAGACTTAACAAGTTTACAGACATGTTTATCATTTGCATTATAGTAACCTTCAGGTAAGCACATGTAAACTTCTTCAATTAAATCACCATACAAAAAAACATTATTAACATCTAATTGATAAAAATTCCACTTATTTTGAACAACTAAAGATATAATGCAACGAACAGTCACCATTTTTACAACGGGAGAGAAAGTTTCATCATAGTCAAGACCTTCTTTCTGACTATACTCTTTAGCTACCAACCTAGCTTTATATCCTTCTATTTCTCCAGTGGACTTGTATTTTATTTTATACACCCACTTGCAGCCTATAGGTTTTCTACCATGAGGTAAGTCTGTTATTATCCATGTATTATTTCTATGTAAAGTTTCCATTTATTCATTCATATCATTTATCCAATTAATATCAGTACAAGCTTCAAAGAAATTCTTAGGTTCAACAGACTTATTTAGATTTGACACAAAACATAAATTTTCAGTGGAAAGACAGGAATAATTAACGACTTTTTCCAATCCATATTTGACTTTTCCTTCAATAACAAAGTCATCAAATTCTTGTAGAAACACTGAAACTCTAGTAGACCTTCTACTAGGTTTACCTGAAGTAGAAGGTGTACTTTAAGTACCCTAAAAATGAGACTTTCATCATTTCTTTGAGAACTGGTAGCCTTATTTGAGCTACTCACGAGTTGTCATCTGGTAACTCTTTCAAGAATATCTTCAACATTTGCTGAAGGACCTTGCATTCAAAAGTTCATTTGAGCTTCCTAGAGGTTCCTCATTGGCAGCTCTAATTTGGCTACCTAAAGTTCTTTGAACATTAGGGACAAAATTAGATGGATCAGTAGTGTTATCACCAAAATTGTCTCGATTATCATCACTGGGTGGTGCATCCACAATATCATTAGATGTTTCATTCAAGAAATCAAAGAAATTCAGTCTACTAGCATCATTATTAACATCATCATCAGATCTGTCACAGTCATCTTAAAGGGAAAAACATTTTCATAAAATTTGATATCTCGTGAAATAACAAATTTTTTAGACTCTAGACTAAAGAGCTTGTATCCTTTCTTTGAACTAGCATACCATAATAATACACATTTTTCTGACTTGGGGGGGGGGGGAGAACTTATCTGTGGTATTGGGTATTATAGCAAAAGAAAGACACCCAAAATTCCTAAGATGACCAAGAACAGGTTTAAAACCGTATACAAGTTTGAAAGGACACTTACCATTTAGGATAAAAGAAGGAGTCCTATTTATTAAGTAGGTAGCAACATTTAGCAAGTGACAATGTTTTCTTTCAACAACCCCATTCTGTTGGGGTGTATAAACACATGAGGTTTGATGTATAATGCCTTTAATTTTAAAAAAAAAAATAACTTAAATTTTGATTGAAAAAATCAGAACTATTATCACTGCTAAACACTTTAACATTTTTTCCAAACTGATTAGCAAGTAAGTTAAAAAAAAGGTTATAACACTATCTCCAACTTCATGTTTACCCTTTAATAGGAACAAAACAAAACGAGTGAAATCATCAACAATTGTAAGAAAATATTTATAACCTTCCCTACTTTGGACCTGATAAGGTCCCCAAACATCTAGATGAACAAGTTCACCTAGATATTTGGATTTATGAATACTAGACTCAAATTTTTCTTAAGTCTGTTTTGCTTCATGGCAGATTTCACAAGGGCCACAGTTATCATTGTCAATTTTAAGACTATGTTTTAGAACATTTAAGACCTGATGAGCAGGATGACCAAGACGACTATTCCATAGCTGGGCAGAAGCTGAACAAGACATATTTATCTTATGAGAGGTGCCACATAGACTCACAATTTGAAGGTTGATCAAAGTAATAAAGGCCCCCTTCTTGACTACCAGTCCCCACTACATTCTTTCGTAGCGAATCTTGGACATAACATTTAGGCTCACCAAATCCCACAAACACCTTGTTGTCCCTAGCTAATTTATGAACATATAGAAGGTTGACATTGAAGTTTGGGACAACCAACACATCAAATAGAGTTACATTATTGGATAGATTAAAGTCCCTAATTTTCGTTATATTGGCTTTAGTTCCATTTGGATGGCTAACTCTAAAGATCAAGTTCAGATATATCAACAACATTTTTAAGAAAAACAATGTTGTAAGTCATGTGTTGGTTAACAACAGAGTCAATGATCCAACCAGACCTAAGAGACTGAAAATTACCTGCCATATTAGCGGTAGCAGCATCAAAAGACTTATTTTGCTCAATTAAACCAAGAATTCTAGCAATGTGATCTTCAGTAAAGGTAAAGGAAGAGTTTGGAACAACGGGCTTGGTAGAATTCATCTTAGAAGAAGTTGACTCAGAAACAAACATTATAAGCAAAATTCTTAAAAGATTGATTTTGAGGTCTGACACGATTCTGAAATTATTTGGGAAACCAATCAACTTAAAACACCTCTCAATAGTATGTCTAGTGGCCCCACAGTGCTTACAACTTAGGGAAGTGACTCTACCCGATTGACGTTTATTATCAATTGTCTTACTAAAAAGGTAGAATTTTGAGATCTAGACTTTGGTTGAGACATGTTCCCCCTTGATGAGATTCTTCTCTTGAAACCAAAGAAAAAGCAGTTTTTAGAGAAGGAAGGGGATCACTAGTAAGAATATTACTTTTGATGGGTTGATAGATATTGTCAAGATCCATCAGAAATTGCATGAGTTTAATGAGTTTGGTGTGTTCAAAAAAATCTTGAGAAGAGTTACAAGTGCATGAGGGTAGTTTGATAAGGGCATCAAACTGTTTCCATAAAGAATTGAGTTTGTGATAATATTCAGAAATAGAATTACCATTTTGGCTTAAGCAATTAATTTCTTGATTCAAATTAAACATAACAGACCCATCAACTTTATCATAGGTTTTCTTTAATTCATCCCAAACCTTAGAGGCCTCTTTGGAAAACACTTGTCCTAAAAAGAGATCCTCGATCATAGAACTCAGTATCCAGGAAAGGACAACAGAGTTACATCGATCCCATTGTCTTTCTGAGACATGATCGTTTATTGATCAAGGACAGGACCCATCAATAATACCAATTTTGTTTTTAGTTTCTAAAGCCAATATCATAGCACAAACCCAAACTTTATAGTTGTCAGTACCACTCAGTTTAACATTCAACAAAAGAGTACCACTGGTATCACTTGGGTGAAGGTATAATGGGTCTCCGAAGTCAAGAATAGTGACCTTGGACTCCATCAACCTACCAGTGTTTACTTCAGCAACAAACATGAGCACACAAAGGGAGATTGAACAGATAAAAGCAAGATTCCTAGAACACTTGAGGTGCTAGGTCAAGCTAACTATTTAGCTCCGAACAAGCAAACAAAAGGAGAACAGAAAAGAAAAAAAACCAAAAACAGAATCTCCTTACCACAACAATCAGTACAATAAGAACACATAAAGGAAATAGAAGAAGATACAACCTGAATAATCCAGTCCTTTAACCAAGGGTTAAAAGAAACAAATGCGAAGCACATGCAAAAGGCCAGGAATAAACCTAAACATAAAGGAGATAGACTCCAGCCTGGATAACATAGATATCTAGAAACAACAGATACTAAGCACATGATTTTATTTAACAATATATGAGGACGAGATTTAAACAGTGAGTATTTTAGTAACGATTGGGAAGCAAGATCTAGACAGATCTATAACACCAAATCCGCAACTAGATAACAAGACAAACACATCTAACAACAAAAGGAGAAGAGTATTTAACAATATATGAACATATGATCCAAACGGTGAGTATTTCAGTAACGATTGGCAAACAAGATCTAAACAGATCTATAATGCCAAATACGCAACTGATCATGTACTCAAATATTAAAAAGACAAACCAGATTACAACAAGAGGCAAACCAGATATGGAGCAGAATAATAAGAGAAACATATCTAACCACAACGCACAAAGAGTATTTCAACTGCGATTGAAAGTTAAGATCTGAAGAGATCTTTTAAGTCCAAACCAGTTGCTGATCATTTACTCAACAAAAATCAAACTAGACAAATCTTGAACCAGATTTGTAAAACAACATATCTAATCGAGACAAAAGTGAAAAAAATAGATCTAACCATAACAAGATGAGAGTATTTCAGCACGGCTAAAAAGTTAAGATCTATAAAGATCTTTAAGATCAACCGAATGCCGAGCATCTACTCGTGATAAAAGATGTAACAAGTTCTTAAAACAGATAAGAACAACATATCTTAAGAAAATTTTAAGGAACACAAAGGAACAATAGATATAAACGAAAAGTTAACAGGAGTATTTCAGCTTCGAATGCCGAGCATTTACTCACAATAAAAGTTCAAACAGGTTAGAACAACAGATCTTAAAAAGTTTTAAAGAACACAAAGAAACAACATATCTAAACAAAAAACAACATGAATATTTCAGCTTCGATTGCAAGAATGAGATCTAAAAGATCTACAAATCCATCTCGTTTGCCGAGCATTTACTCAAAGAGTAAGAACCACAAGGATTTAAGAACACAGAAAGAGAACTTACCTAAGACGATCTTGAATCTAAAGATGAAGATGAAAATAGGTTGTTCACAGATTGAACAAACCACAGAACCCTAGATTTAGCTCTGATACCATGTACAAATCAATAATCAATGCATTCATTTCTTATTAACAAAAGATTACAAATACAAACATATAAACTTTAGAGCTTATTCAAAGAATTAAAGCTAAAGTAGCTTAGAAGGAAGAACAATCTAGAGAGAAAAGAAATGTTTGAAAATGAAGAAAATATGAATCGTTAATCAAATGACCGGTTAACAAGCCTTTAATAAGAATGGAGAATTGACAGAATTAGTCCTTGAAGATTGCTAGAACTTGCTCTGCTACCCTTCATCATTTCCAATAAGTGAGGCGCAGTCCTCGTACTTGATAATTCCATATTTTCACTTTTGACAGATCCAGTCCCTTAAAATAGAAAAGAATTAATCAAAAGTTAAGATTGCAAATATAACATATTTTAACACTATCAATCCATAATTTCTTGTCGGGAACGAGATATGGAGAAGAGTAAAAAAGTTTATGATAGAAAGATGTAGAAAAGAAAGAATTGTAACGACAGATGATGAAGTGTAAAAAAATTTATGATAAAGAGATGTAAAAGAGAAGAGACAATTAAAATAATAAATAACAAGATATGGAAACTGGGAGAAATAAGAAAACTCATGATGCATATCTAACACATACGTATTTATAATATTTTATATTATTGTTAAATACAAAATTATTTAATAGTGAGTTTATTTTGAAGGTATTGACGAGATGATAAGAATGATATAATTTGTAATTCAAAAAAAGGAAATGCATTTTAGTTAATCTATATTTATGTATTTTTAATATGACAAATATGTAAAATAAAAAAATAAAAATGAAAACGAAAAGGATATAAAACAAATTAATTCATAGGTATTCATGATATTTAATATAATGATTAAATATAAAAATATTCAATATTGAACTTATTTTGAAGTTAATGACGAGATGATTACAACAGTATAATTTGTAAAAAAATTAAAATATTTTTTAACATTTTAATTTATATATAATTATTTATATTAATATAATAAAGATATAAAATAAAAAATAAGAAGTAAAAGACATAAAATAAATTAAATAATTAATTATTAGGTATAAACTGTAATTTAAATATTGAAAAATATTTTTCCTCCGTCTTCGACAGCACAGCATAAGGTTCGAAAAATCGATCCCAAAACGCCTTCTGATTGTTCATAAAGCAAAAACGTGAAGAATTTCTTCGATCGGTAGGGTAATGCACTGCACTGATTGTAGACCAGTAGATAAATCTGTTCATCATCGTTTTCTTGACATAGGATTCGTCCATTTTTGTTCTGTTTCACAATACCTTCAAGAATTTGTTGATGGAAACCTAATCTGGATTACATTTTTTACTCTCTTATTGAGATTGAATAGGAGAAGAGAAGAGGATGAAGATCACGGCGTTACTTGTGCTGAAATGTCATCCGATTCCAGACGGGTCGGATCCGGTGATCTTAGCGAACGCGACAGATGTGAATCATTTTGGGTACTTCCAGAGGGTCACCGTTAAGCAGTTCATCGTGTTTGTTGGTCGAACTGTCGCCAAACGGACCCCACCTAACCAACGCCATACCGTCCAACACGAAGGTTATCTACCTCTGTTTTCCACAATTTAATTGTTCATCATTTCTGCGAATTCTGCCATTGATTTCAAACCCTAATCATTCCATTCATTCTTGGATATACATCTTGGTTGGAAATTCAAGATGCAGTTTCAATTATAAACACTTAAATTTGAAAGATTTGAATTCATATATTGAAATAAACCATCTATTAGTTTAGGTGGGTGTTTATAAGTTTTTCTAGCCAAACATTTGGTGAACAAATAGAATTGAGTTCCACTTATATGAGGTTTCTCATGGTATCAGGTTCAATTCAATTTGTGGAAAAAGGATTAAAATGATTCATAGATTGCAGAATGTATTATCTATTAAGAACTTTTGCATAAGTTATTGGTGTTCATATGATAATGACACCATGGAAGTTTGTGAAAGATCTTGCTAATTATATTTATTTTCTCGGTGATAGAGTATAAGGTGCATTCATATAACAGAAATGGTTTATGCGTTGTGGGCTTCATGGACGATCACTATCCGGTTAGAAGTGCATTCTCAGTGCTGAACCAGGTAACGTAATATTATTAAGAACTTTAAGAACCAGGATCAAATGATTGATCAACATTGGAGTCTAAAAGGTATTTACATAAACATAATCATGTTGAGAATATCCCTCTCCTTTTGAAAGATCAAAGTGCGCACAAAACAAAATGTTGACATATCATAGATACTTAAAAGTTGTCGTTTAACAAAGGTTTAAAGATTATAGTCTGTTAGAAAAGAATTTTGTTTCTATTAAATGTAAATGCAAGAAATCAAGATGTAATTTAGGCGTAATGATATAAAAAATAAGAGCATTAAAGGCTTATGCTTATAAAGTGAAGAGTATACTTGTTGAAGGTGCATTATTATCCATGCTTGTAAAGAATATGGCAAATGAAACCATAATCAAACCTGATAGTGCCACTCACCATTACCGATAGAGGTCTGGAAATCAAGCACCTCAATTGTAGTGCCTGCCTTTGGTATGTGGGACAGGACGGACAAGAGTACAAAAACTTGTAGTCCCATGTTTGGTATGACATTAGACTAGGACAAGACAAAACCTGAGTACATTTGGTGCTTGCATCTTCTTGTCCCACCAAAATAGGTGGAACAAAAATCAAGAAGATGGGACATAGATTACTAATACCCATAGCAACTTAAAACTCTATAACTTTCACCCACCTACCTCATTCTTGCCCGTCTAGTCCTGTCTAGTTCAGTCTCATCTATGTATTGAACAAGAAACAAGTCTAATCATGGATGCAAATGAAAGGGTATCGCCCACACTTTAACCTGCTTTAGGGTGATGGAGGTTGGTAGGTTTGTTGATCGTGGAAATCAAGGAATTCTCTTTGGAGTTCATTCCATGCCTTGTATTTTGTCTTTGAATTGATCTAATGGTAAATGTTGATTAGGTAATAGATGAATATCAGAAGAAGCATGGTGAGTCATGGAAGACCATACAAGCAGATACTACTAGTCAATGGCCTTATCTTAATGATGCTTTAACCAAGTTTCAGGTACCTTTTGAGCGACTTCATCCCCAGTTTTAGCTTCACTTATGCAATCCCTTATACCATCTTCATTCTTTTTCCAACCCCTCACAGGATCCTGCTGAGGCAGACAAGCTGTTGAAAATTCAGAGGGAGTTGGATGAAACTAAAATTATCCTTGTAAGCATCAATTCCCTATTTCTTTCTTCTTCGTTAATGGGATATTCAGATTTCATTTATTCAAATCGCTTGCTATGATCGCCTATGCACTAATCTTTCTTCTCGTTTAACATTTTCATATTATGGGGGCCTGAGAATATACATGGTGGTAGAAGAAATAGATATATGATCATAAAGTACCGACTACTTGATGTTGTAATTGATAAAGGATGTGACCCCGCAAAATAGAGATTGGAGTATATGTGGATGCAATAAATCTCTTCCTTTTTTCTTGCTTGACGGTGACAGATACACTTGTTTGTCTTAATACTTTGATAAAGAACTATGCTGCTGCTCATGCTATTCTATATTTGCTCATACTTTGGGATAAGCCTTGAGTCATCACATAAACAACTCTATCATTTGTGGTAGATGACATATTTACGTACCATGTACATCACACTTCTATACCCTGAGTGGGAGATAGTGGATTCGTTTGGTTTGATTTGGTTGTTATATATTTGTAAACAGCCAATTAAGACAAATATATTGCATGTGTCGTGATGTCATTTACTGTGGCAAGCAATTCTTGTTCACAGCATAAAACCATTGATAGCGTCCTTGAAAGAGGCGAAAAGCTGGACAGCTTAGTCGAAAAGAGTTCAGATCTCAGTGCAGCTTCACAGGTGTACCTTCTTCCCATCAAAATGCATGTTATTATGAAGCTTTCTTGAATTTATCTTCCGAAGAATCGTAAAGATTAACATGAATTTAACACAAACCCATTGGTTGATTGTGAATCAGATGTTCTACAAGCAGGCAAAAAAATCCAATCAATGTTGTACTATTTTGTGAAAGCTAGTTGCAGGTTCTCCTTTCTTCCTTCCACGGTTATGAAGCGTAACTCTTGGAGACTATCAACTTATGGGAGGTAAATCTCCCCTGCCCTGGATTTATGCAGGCTTGGGTTCATGCTTTTTGTTCTCATGTATCTAATTCGTTTTCATTGTTATTTAGAATGTTATCTTGTAAATAAGAAGTGATCAAATATCATGTCATAATGTTAATACATTGCTTCTGTTTTCAAGATTTCTGATGATATATCTTTCTTGTGTTATCCTATGATTTAGAACTGTAAACCAATGAAACATAACGTCTTGAATGAATGAACTTCAATGCAACATTGTTCATTTAACCAATCACTCGACAATTGTCTGTCCATCGACATGGCACCCAAAACAGAAGAGTAAAAGTCGGTACTTTCCTTGTTATCGTAAACAAGCTTTAACTAGGCACTCGGATTAAAAGTGAGAAACTAGATATGACTAATATTCCACAAGAATTGATTCAATTACTTTATCTTTGGGTACTTTCACAAGAATAATGTTAACTTATAACGTGTTAGAATATGTGAAACCCTTGATACAAAAAGGAAAAAATGTTACATATATGACTTGTTGATGTAGCACTTCAATATGCCCTTTCAAACGGAGGCTAGGATAGATCCGGCTCTGATACCATTTTGAAATATAGAGATGGATTGGTATGTGACAAGCCAATTGCTAAAAAAATCAGTAAAATTGGTGGCACATAAAATTTAACTTTCAGCTTAGTCTCAGCAATCTTTAATTAGATCCTTTCAATAGATGGCAAATTGTATAAAAAAAGAGAAAAAGTCTGAAAAACCCGATGGACTGTTGTAGATTTTAAACGGTTAAAGTCCCTGGACATCTTTTGACAAATAATGGTGTTTGTCAATTATGCTGTTAAAATCGCGATATATCGGATATTGGTCTCTGGAAAAATATCGATGATGAAATATCGGTTCCGATAATATCGCCGATATTTACCAATATTTTGATGGAAAAATCGGTCCGATATATCTATTTTTTATAAGGCAAATGTTTGGGTTTTTTTATTACATGTTGGGCTTAGTTTTTTGGGCCTCTTTGTTTGGTTAACCAGTCAACACATATATTAGGTCTCACGCTTCTTCTTTTCTCGGTACTTCACGGTTCATGCTTTTTCTCTTCTCGGTTCTTTCACAGTTCACACTTATTTCTCTTCTCGGTCTCTCTCTTCACGGTCCGACTTCTTTTCTCTTCACGGTCCGACTTCTTTTCTCTTCTCGGTCCCCTCTAGCCTACTTACCAAGTTGATACAGCCACAGGTCCTCAACCAACAGCAACTAGCAGCGACTGTGTTGAATGTTGACTCGGATGCCGAACCTATTGCTTGCGATTAGCTCGTTTTTGAACACTTTTCCTATTTTGTTTTGTGAAACTTGTTTATGTGATGTTTTTAATTTTTGAAACTATATTTTTAAACTTTAATGTTTATGGATGCATGCATATATAATATATATAAAATTCTAAGAAATATTATATTAACCGCTATTTTGGACCGATGTAACCAAAATATCGAATATCGGTCCTGACCGATATTCTGTATTATGATCGCAGTAACAACATAGTTTGTCAATTACCACTAAGATGTTTCTTGAGACAAAAGGAAACAAAAACATCATCAAGCTCATGAAACATGATAATCTAATGTATATATAGCGTAGGGATATGCAAGAAGTGATTCGATCTGATCGACCATAATTGAATATCTAACTATAATTGGATCAGATCAGATCAAATTCAAAAAATGTTACATAGTGAACCAAGAATATATTTCTCTACAATCATCTAATACGAACGATACTCCTCCGAGCTTTGGCGGTGTTGCAATGAACTTGTGCGAACAATGTTAGAAGAAAGTGTATCCCTAGAAACGATTGAATGATCCAAAAACATATTCCTCAAACTTAAAACTGCATATGCATGAAAGTTTGATATTAAACATCTTGAAAATCTCAACCCATTTAATTAAATGGGTTGAGAATTTTCAACCCAACTCAACTTGTTACTTAAATGGGTTGACAGCGGATTGACATGTTTACGGTTTTTTTAATCCAACCTATCAAATAAATGGGTTGAACCTGAGTTGACCCATTTAATTTTAAAATTTTAAATAAAAAAAAGAACTAGATCATTTAACATTTTTTGAATAAAACATAACACAATCACAAATACAATCAAATTGTTCAAAGTTTGAATAAAACACAACCATAACAAATATATTGTTCAAAATAAGTTGGAAAATTTTAAATTCTAAGTAACTCGACTTTCACTTTCATCAACCCCAATTTTACTCTCGGTATTACTTTCTTCTTGATCTTCTATCTTCTCTGTCATGATTGCTCCACATAGCGCCTCAAGATGCACTTCCATTTCTACTACGTAAATAAATTAAATTATTAACTTAGTTATAGCCTTATAGCAAATACATGGTTTTATACGTTAAGAGGAAATATATAAAGAATAAGTTAGAACAAACCTTCTCCATATACCCAATCTCTTAGACAAATGATAGCCTCAACTGTAGAAGACTTCAATGAACTTCTATAAGCATCAAGGAGCCTATCGCCAATGCTAAAAGCAGATTCAGATGTCACGGTTAAGATTGGGATAGCTAAGATGTCCCTAGCTATCCGAGCAAGAGTTGGATACCTAACCTCATGAATTCTCCAATAGTCCAAAATGTTTAGATTGTTCACACTGAGGCATGAGCTTCTCCTTTAAATAACATTCAAGTGCAGATTTTACGGCTTGAGAAGTCGCCTTATTTGAAAAGGTATCGAAGTCCTGATAAATAACAAAAAGATATCAGATAAATAGCATAAATCAGAAAAAAGTATAAAAGAAAAAAAATAGTAAATGTATATACCATCATAAGTGAAGTAGAAGCCGCATCTAGCACATCCTAAGATCCTTCTTGGAAGTCCAACGATCCACTCTTAGGTTGACCAACTTTGGTTTTACTCAAATATGACTCATCCACATACTCATTAAATAATGAAAACAATTTCTTCTTTATTATTGCCAACTCAGATTTGTACCCGTGCCCATAAACTTTCTCATAACCCCATTCAACAATCTAAAGTTTATAACGAGGATCCAAAACAGCCGTACATGCCATAACTGTGCTAAAATTAGCCCAATATTTCTCAAACTTCTCATACATCCGACTAGCCATGTTTTGCATAAAAGTATCATGACTGTCTTTTTCTTTGTGTAACAACACTCTAACCGTCAAAACATTAGCAAAATAAAGATTGGTAGTAGTATATTTAGAGCCAGAAAATGCACAAGTTACCTCGTAGAAAACCTTCAAGAACTTGGAAGTCCTTTCAGTTCTTCCCCACTCCTCACTTGTTGGACAATGCAAATAATTAGCATCAATTTTCGCCAAATGAATAAAAGTTTTTTTATAGTACAAAACTGATCCAAATAATGTAAGTCGAGTTCCATCGAGTGGGAACATCCTGTCTTAAACCCCTTGAAGATTGTAGCTCTACATGTGCAACACTACTTAAAAACCGTTGCCTCATAGATTGTGAACCTTTATAGTACTTCACAGTATTTCTAACCTTTATAATAGCATCATCAACCTCTTTCAATCCATCCTGCACAATTAGGTTCATAATGTGTGCGCAACACCTAACATGAAAATATTCACCTT